GCGGTTTTCTCTCAAAGGCTACTGAGAAACCTCTGGAGGCCTGTTTCCCTCCTCCCACTTGCTTCCAACTTCCCTCCTCCCACACAACACCCACAAGGCCTTGGGAGACGCAATAACGTATCAGAGGCCTGTGCCAGAAAAATGCAACACTACCAATTGCTTGTACAGTACTAATAAAAAGTATTATTATTGCTTCTCGTAGATTTTTGTTGTACACTGTTGCTTAGAGGGATAGTTACAGCAGGGTCCCCCAATCCCCCTCCCCCCGGGCCACAGACCAGTATCAGTCTATGGCGCAAAACCGAAACCCTCCCCCTCCCTACTCCCAGTCTGTGGAAAAAATGTTTTCCACAAAACTGGTCCCTGGTGCTACAAAAATTGGGGACCCCTGATTTAGAGGAGATCTGGCAAAAAGTAGGACATACCCTCTGTCTGCCAGGTATAGCCATAAAATCAAATATTGTCTAGCACAGAAGTCTCCAAACTTGGCAACTTTAAGGCTTGTGGACTTCAACTCCCAGAATTCTCCAGCCAGCATAACTGGCTGGAGAATTCTGGAAGTTGAAGTCCACAAGCCTTAAAGTTGCCAAGTTTGGGGGGCCCTGGTCTGGCAGCTTCTTGAGTATCTAAAATGCTTTCTGATCCTGAGCAGCTTTTCTCTGCTTCTTGATAAATTCAAACTACAAGTTAACAAGCTCAGTTCTATGTCCTTAATTAATTGTTTAGTATTCTCCTGCTGGCTTATGCTGCTGCTGCTGCTGCTGCTGCTGCTGTTGCCTGAAATTGACAAGACAGGAATCAGCTTTTGATTCTTCTAGCACATTCTTGCCATTAAAAAACCCCAATCTTTCTGAAAAAGTAATGTCCTATGCTGTACATATAGTTTTAGGTGCTCTGTTTTGTTTGTTTGTTCTTAGTTATTCAATGGAACTTTTAACATGGAGGTCAAGAAAATTAAACAATAAGTGTGCCTCCTTCCTACCCTACATTTGTCTTCCTTTCCAGTTGTCCGTGTCCTCCTTTGCCTGTTCTGATAAGTCTATTTAGAGCTCCATTGAACAGAAGTGGTACAGAAACGACATCAATCAATCAAATTGGCGTGCCTAGCAATATTAGTTTATTTGTGTTCATTTTAATTAAAAACAACAACAGCAGCAACATTCAAAGAGCTTTCTTGACTTCCCCATGAGCAGAGTAGTCTGGGTAGAACACATTTATCCTAAAAGAAGCCTCCCCTTCCTCCATTTTGACACAAGGAAGGAGGCTCCTGTAGGTTCTGTTACTGTTTGGAGCTTCCATTTCACCATCTTCTTTTCTCCATAAGATGTTGAAGAACCTGCCTCTGGAATTAAGCTGTCTTTGTTAGGGCTACCAGACCTAGGCTGCAAAATTCTTGAAGGATCAGAAGAGGACAGCAAGGACACACATAAACCTTAACTCTATGCTGCCATCTTGTAAACATCCTGATTTCTGCAGCTCAGATTGCTCTGTTCACATGTCTTTGAAGAGGAAAGGTAAGCCCTTTCCTAACACACACACCCCTGTGCAATAAATAACCTTTTTTTTTTAAAGAGAGGGAAAGAGAAATTTATAAACTGCTGCTCTAGAGACTCTCAATGTTTTATATGAAACAAATCACAAACAAGGATATGAGCCCTAAATTGTGTAATCTATTGGTACTCTGTTAAAATTCAGCCATGGATTGACCCTTCATATGGATTGACCCTTGCAACTATGATTGCTTTGCTAATATGAATCTATTTTTCAAACTGTTTTCATTTTCTTCACTTATGAAAAATCTGAGAGAAGTGAGAAACAAATGAAACCCAGTTCAGGAATAATTCACAAGTACATGGTAATTCTACATCTTTTACCATTGTTTCTTCCAACACAAATCATAAACCAGTTATTAATTATTCTGCCCCATATTTTATTTATATTTTTTAAAAAATATTACAGTGTCATGTGTGAGAATAATCTTAAAAACTTCAAAGAAGTATTGGCAGACAAATCTGGAAAATTGATGGGAGGCTAGATGCCCTGCTGAGAGGTCTTTGTCAATTCTCTTTTTTGATTTTATCTTCAATTACCATTTTGGTATTTTACACTTTAATAATGTTGTTTTTGTTGTTTTAATATTTTATTAGCTGCCCAGAATCACATTTGTGAGATAGGCAGTCATATAATCAATTAAACTCTACAAATCTAGAAGCAAGTGAACAACATAGAAAGTACAAGCCTGTAGGGATTCTCAGTCATCCGGGGCATGGTTGTCCCAAAGGTGCTTTTTTAGGAGGCAACTGGACTTTGTTTTTCTTTTGAAGATGTTTCACTTCTCATCCAAGGAGCTTCTTCAGCTCTGACAGGATAGTGGGGAATGGAAGGCTTTATATTCCTTGCAGACAGCTGGTCATTTACATCCTTTTAGAGGGTTGTTGAGGCCACTTGGAGGTTTATCTGTGTCCTCAGGGTCACCCAAGTAGTGCTCCTGGTTCCTGCAGTACGCAGTTTTTCCTCTGGAAACCCATTCCTACTCCCATATCATTCAAAGGGTGTTCATTCCAAATTGTATAGCTAAAAGTTCAGCCGCTTGCAAGGAATATAAATCCTTCCATTCCCCGCTATCCTGTCAGAGCTGAAGAAGCTTCTTGGATGAGAAGCGAAACATCTTCAAAAGAAAAAAACAGAAAAATCCAGTTGCCTCCTGAAAAACCACCTTTGGGACAACATAGGAAGTAGTTTTTATGGTGAATGGAAGAATTGCTGAAGCTGCTGTTGCTGGACATTGCTGATCACCTTGTCCACCCATAAAAAAAGCAGACATGAGGCATCAACCTACCGGGCTAACTGCCTTGAAGCAGGGATTAGCCTAGAAGGGTGGGGGGAGCTGGGGAGGAGAGAGAGAGAAAGAGAGGGAGGGAGGGAGGAGAGAGAGGGGGGGAGGTGTCCTACTTTTACACCTTCTCTTTTCCTGTTGCTCCTGCTACTCATAAGTGGCAAGAAAAGGGAAGTCCATCTGATGTGCTTCTCCAGTTCTAAGAAATTTGGGAAAGCCGACAGCCAAAGACTTACCTCCAGTCTTCTCTCCTCCCTTGACTCCAGATGAACTGCCATTTCAAAGATCACTTCTCTTCCTACCACCCATGAATCAAAGAAATGAGTCAAAGAAAAAAGCACCACCTACAGCTGGACTTAGTACATAAAATTATCTGCTACAATGATCTACCAGTCAATGACTACTTCATCTTCAACCGCAACAATACAAGAGCCCACAACAGATACAAACTCAATGTAAACAGCTCCAAACTTGATTGCAGGAAGTACAACTTCAGCAACAGAGTGGTCAATGCCTGGAATGCACTACCTGACTCTGTTGTTACATCCTCTAACCCCCACGCCTTTAACCTCAAACTAACCACTATTGACCTCACCCCATTCCTAAAAGGTCTGTAAGGGGCTTGCATAAGTGCACCATGCTGCCTACCGTTCCTGTCCTATTGTCCCCAATTATTTGTACCTATTTCCTGTATTCTTACTCACGTTTATACCTATTATCTTGTAAGCAACTGGCAAATCAAATAAATTAATAAAATAAAGATAAATAAACGGAAGAGGTGGGGGTTTTTTTTGGCACAGACAGCTTTCAAAATCAGAGGCCAGGAACTAGTAGGTTGTGGGGCGGGAGGCAAGATTGGGGGCCAGTCCACAGTAGTCTCAGATGGCCAATGGGAGAAGGGTGAGGCCTTACCCCAGATCTACCATGAAACAATTCACATAACAGATAATCAGAGTTGGAAGGGACCTTGTAGGCCATCTAGGCCAACCCCCCACCCAAGCAGGAGACCTTACACCATTTCTGACAAATGGCAGTCCAATGTCTTCTTGAAAGTCTCAAGTGATGACGCTCCCACAACTTCCGAGGGCAAAGCTGTTCCACTGGTTTGATTGTTCTCACTGTCAGAAAGTTTCTCCTGATTTCCAGGTTAAATCTCTCCTTTTCCGTTTCCATCCATTATTCCTTGTCTGGCTTTCAGGTGCTTTAGAAAATAGCTTGACCCCTTCCTCTCTGAGATCTACAGACTTCTCAGTCCAGCAAGACAGACAGGGGTGGGGGTGGGGAAGCCTTCTGCAATTGAGCAAGAAGCTACAGGCTCAGGCTACTTGGACCAGGGCTAGCTACAGGCTACTTGGACCAGGGTCGGGCCGAGGAGGAGGCTAGGCATTCAGCAAATATTTCATGGGAAGCCTTTGCACTGGGTGAAACAGGAAATGGTGGTGAATCGGGGTAAGATTTATAGAAAGTTCTATCACCAACTCAGAAATGAAGGAGGGCCTGAAATGTGCAACTTTCATTTTTCATAGGATAAACTCATTTTTACAGTGAGCGCACATACGATGCTGAAACCCGATTGTCAGGTTTCTCTTCTCTCTTTTGCCGGTAAAAAGTCGGAGTAAGTTGCAGTTATCTCTTAAATTAAAGCAACCTTTGACTCGCCTGGGATGGGCGAAGCGAAAGGAAGCCAAAAAAAAAAAAAAGTGTTGCGAGATCTTTAGCTATAATAATACATTTGTTCCGTCATCACTTCCCGAACTCCTTCTTGGGAAAGGGGCTTGGAGCTCGAGCCGAGCACGGTTCGTCCACCTTCGTGGAGCTGGTTATCGCTCTGAAAGCCCTCCTCCCGCTTTTTAATTTCATATTAATGTTTACTCCAACCTTGATTTTTTAAATCGTATTGCGCTCGCGCGCCCACACACACGATATACATTTACTTGTACGATCTACAAGTAAAAAAAAAACCATTTAAAACATTTGAAACCTTTTTACTCGTCGATCGCGTCTGGAGTCCCTCTGCGAGGTAAATGAGCGGTTTTCAAAAAGCCGAGAGGTAAATGACCACACAAGCAAATCAACTTTAGTCATTTGGGTTGACGGTCTCGACGGGGGCGGGGAAGCGCCTCGTGGGAGCGTGTCATGGGCGCTGGAACTTTCCCCAGCCCGCGCGGAGGGTGAGAGGCTTGGGGCGAAATAAGGAGATCAGTGGGGGTTTTCCGTGACCCTCCTGCGCGGGGGGAAAGGGGCGTTTCCCGGAACATTTATAAAGAGGAGCAGCGCGTCTAGTCGGGCAAAAAGAGCTCAGGCGCTGGGCTTTGTGGGGCTCTAGCAGCAAAAGCAACCAGGATTTCAATTGGTTCCGTTTCCATTTCCACTTGGCTACATTCCGATCGCCTCCCGAGCAGACGCCTTTCCCTGAGTTTTGAGTTTCGTCTCGATCACCATGCAGCGGTCTTTCGTCTTTTTCCTCGTTGTTTGGGGCTCCTGGGCTTTTGAAAAAGGTAAGGCAGCGGTAGGTTTTTTACAATATCTTCCTCCAAACTCTCAGTTCCTAGTGCGAAGCGGAGATCTGTCACCGGTGGAGTGTGGGATCTGCCACTGTCCAGAAACAGGTGGTTCTGGTCAGGAAGATTTTTGGGTCCTTAATTCAGGCTGCAGAGCTACTTTATGTCTCTGAAGAGTGGCACTGGGAAATGAATATATGAGATTGAACTCAGATCAAAGCCTCAGCACCATTTAAATCTTACCTAAACTACACCCTAGAGAACTACTTGGATGTAGTGGTTAGAAACTGAGGAACTCTGAGTTGTGCTTCTGTTTTAGGCATGAAACCAGGTGGGTGGCTTTGGGCCAGTCACTCTGTGGGCTAAAATCCTTTGGAAACTGCAAGTTAGGAAAATGGTCAAAGGGCAAACCACTTCTGCAAAACCTTGCCAAGAAAACTGCAGGTTCTAGTCCAAACAAGGCACACACACATGTACACAAACCATATGTTCACTTGTTGCCCTAAAGTTATAACTTTCTTTTTCTTTTCCTTCTGCCTATTCCTAGAAAAGAGCAGGAATGGGACTTTAGGTGATTTCCCCAAAGCAGTTTCTGAAACACCAATTGCAGATTGTTTGTCTTAGGCATTCCTTCCCTCTGGTCTTTTAATTATTTGCCCAACCTGAAGGCTTGATAAGTAGGGTTTCTTCTGACACACCTTCCCTGAATTATTGCACGCTGCAGTCAATATGCTAGAAGAAAAATAAACAAGAGGTTTCGTCCATCAACCCTAAGAATACTTGGTTATTTCCACCTCCTTGCATTTGATTTCCCATGAAAATACAGTTGGTGGGTTGAATATTATTTGGTGATCACATTCTTTGTGGAGGCAAGATACAGCTTTTGTTGCAGGCTAAGCTTGTTAATTAAAGGACAGCAGGGCAATATTTAGATGCTGAAGCCCACCCTTTGAGTGCTGGCCAGACATTAGGGAGGAAGTGGGGGCTGTGAGGTATCGTCTCCAGTCTGTGTTTTTTGTGTAGATGTAAGGTAGATTTGTCTCTTAGAGATACCTGTTGACTGTTGATTCAGAAAACAACACAAAGGTTGAGAAAGGAGGCTTTGCTAGAGGAGGAACAAGCATTCCTCACTAAATTTACTCTAAATTTACTAACTTTGACAAAGTGATGGATTTTGTAACTGGTTGACAAACCACACTCAATGTGTAACCCTCAATGGAGCTACATCTATATCAAGGGAAGTAAGCAGTGAGATACCCCAAGGTTCTGTCTTAGGCCTACTACTATTCAATATCTTCCTAACCAATTTAGATGAGGGAATAGAAGGGGAACTCATCAAAATTTCAGACAACACCAAACTGGGCGGGAATAGCCAACATCCCAGAAGATAGGTTGAATATCCAATAGGATCTCGACAGATTTGAACATTGGTCCCTATCTAACAAAATGAGTGAAATTCAATACTGAGTGTACACCTTACACTTGGGCAAGAAAATGCACAGATTTAGACTAGGTGGGAACCTGACTCGATAGCAGTAACTGTGAGAGGGATCTTGGAATCCTAGTGGACAGTCACTTAAATATGAGCCAGCAGTGTGCCACAGCCATCAAAAAAGCCAATGCAATCCTAGGCTGCTTTAACAGAGGGAGAGCATCAAGATCACATGAAGTACCTGTACTGCTTTATAAGGCCTCGCTAAGACCACACTTGGAATACTGCATCTAGTTTTGGTTACCATATTATAAAAAAAATGTTGAGGCTCTGGAAAGAGTACAGGGAGGAACAATGAAGTTGATTAAGGGGCTGAAAGCTTAAAACATATGAAGAACAGTTGCAGGAATTGAGCAGGTAATGAAAAAGAAGGACTAGGAGTGACATGATAGCAGTGTTCCAATATTGAGGACCTGCTACAAAGCACCAGAGGGCTTGACAAGAAGCAAGGGAGGAAAATAATCAAAGAGAGGAGCAACCTAGAACTAAGGAGAAATTTCTTGACAGTAGATTTAGACAGAGTGGCTTGGTTTTGAAAAATACGAAAAATGTACGATTAACTTTTCCATCAACGGTTGCTTAAGAATTCTAGATAATTCATATGAAACAGATCTACCCAAAGCCACCCAGCCTGTTGGCCTTGCTGAAATTTATTTATTTTATTTATTTTTATTTTGTCAAGCGATTATAAGATAACAGGTATAAGTATAAACATAGTTATGAATGCATGAAATGGATACATATAAGGGAAAAAACAGTAGGACAGGGACAGTAGGCATGATTGGTGCGCTTATGCGCACGCCTCCTACAGGCCTCTTAGGAAGCGGGTGAGGTCAATAGTAGACAGTCTAAGGTTAAAGTCTTTGGGTGTTTGGGGAAGAAACCACAGAGTCAGGTAGAGTATTCCAGACATTGACCACTCGGTTGCTGAAGTCGTATTTCTTGCAATCAGGTTTGGTGTGGTTTACCTTGAGTTTGTATCTATTGTGTGCTCTTGTATTGTTATGGTTGAAACTGAAGTATTCATTGACAGGTAGGACATTGCAATATATAATTTTATGTACTATACTTAGATAGGACCAAAGGTGGCATAGTCCTAGGTTGTCTAGGTCTAGAATTTCAAGTCTGGTGGCATAAGGTATTCTGCAACAAGTAGAGCAATGGAGAACTCTTCTTGTGAAATATTTCTGGCCTTTGTCAACTGTATTAATATCAGATATGTAATGCGGATTCCAGACTGATGAGCTGTATTCAAGTATTGGTCTAGCAAGTGTTTTGTATGCTCTAGTTAGTAGTGTGATATTACAGAGAAAAAGCTACACAGGATTAGGTTAACAACTCTTAATGCCTCTTTGGCTATGTAGTTACAGTGGGCTCTAGCACTTAGATCATTAGAAATGAGTACTCCAAGGTCCTTGGCAGAGTTTGGATCATCAACAAGGTCTTCACTATTCAGCCTGTATTTTATTTTCTGATATTTTTTTGCCAATATGTAAGACAGAGCATTTATTTGTTGAGATTTGAAGTTGCCATTTGTGTGACCATTCTGATACATAGTCAAGGTCTTTTTTAAGGGTAGCAGTATTGTCTGTGGTGTTGAATAGCTTTACATCATCAGCGAAGAGAACGCAGTTGCTCTTAATATGATCACAGAGGTCATTTATGTAGAGTATGAAGAGAGTTGGTCCTAGAACACTGCCTTGGGGGACACCACTATTGACAGGTACAGAATTTGATAGGACGCTCCCATTTCAGTTGCATTTCAGTTGCCTGTTGGTCACTTGTTTTTCCCTTGACAGAAAAAGGTTATTAAGATTGGAGAGTGCCAAAAGGCTCCTTCTCAAGTTTCAACATAGATAAGACATCTAGCAGCTCCTCCCATATTGATTCAAGATGATCTTAGGGGGACAGCAATAAAGCTTAGAATTGCAACATAGTAACTCATGTTCAATGGTTTCTATTCACTCAGTTGTGCAATTTCTGGAAAGGAGCTATATTTCTTTTAAGACAGTCAAGGAAAGGTGTGGCAGTTAATCCCAGACAGACAGATACCATTTGTAGAAGATGGTAAAGCAAGTCAATGTGTCATTGTGCAAAGAAAAAAAGAAGAAGCCTTGAAGCACCTTCTGAGTCACATCTGAGCACATCCAATGATTGTGACCAAAAATTACAGGAATAGAAGATTTCCACATTCTCTAGGATACAACTTTTTTGCTGAACTATCAGAACTGCTTTCTCCAATCTGCCACACTCTGAAGTGTTGAGGTTGCTTTGACTAGAATTCCCAGTCAGAGCAGTGATACATTTTTTTTAAAAAAAATAAGACTTTGATTGCATGCCCATGGTTGCCATCTTGACTTTTGGGCACCCTACCCCTACCCCTATGGAGACTTCTGCTGAAGCACTCAAGAGTGCAGGAATGTGCTACATGAACTAATGAAAAACACTTGCAAAGATTACAGCAACATTTTTGGTGGCTGGAGAACAAACTTCAGGGAGAAAGGGATTTGTCAGATTCCAAAGCAATCTGGATTCATTCAAATTCAGTCCACTTCCTCCCTATTCTGGAGATGTGTCAGAGGGGGAGTTTTGGATTAAAAGTGACTCTGTTTTTGGAATATCAGTAGTGCAACAGCCAGGATTGAAAATTCCAAATTGCACATTTTTGGGAAGGCAGATCTTCTCCTTAGTTTGAACTTGACTCCCTAAATTGTCCTCCCAAGAGGAGTATAATTCCTTCCTAACAAAGCAGTTAGAGCAAATATTGAATGGTTTCCTGCAATTTTACCAGTCTTTGGAAATGAGACATAACTTGATACTGATCAAAGAACTGAGTTCCTGATATTCATAATAAAGAAAAGGCAGGAAATATCTAGCTCTTAGTTCTGCAAAGTTATGCTAAGATATCCTAATTCCTGCTCAGAATTCAGGCAACAATTAAGTAATGTTAAGAGAAAATTGATTTGCCCTTGGGCATGTCCCTTCTCTCTAATCCAGCATTTCTCAACTTCAACTACTTTAAGAAGTGGACTTCAACACCCAGAATTCAGGGAGTTGAAGTCCACACCTCTTAAAAGCATGGGTCTTCAACCTTGGCAACTTTAAGCCTGGTGGACTTCAACTGGCTGGGGAATTCTGGGAGTTGAAGTCCACCAGGCTTAAAGTTGTCAAGGTTGGAGACCCCTGTCTTAAAGTAGCCAAGGTTGAGAAATGCTGCACTAATTTCTTGGGCCTGACTTGGACAGAAGTGGAATTCTTGCAGGTAGAGACTTGTTTTGATTTCAGGATCAGTGCTGTGTCTCATCAAACCCATAATAACTATTCATTTATAATGCTCAAAAGCCTAATTGACCTTAACAGAGAGACTTGAATAAACAAATAAAAACTTTATTGCCTGCTTTATTCGTCCACATCCGTTAATGCCTGTTATTTATGCTTTTATATTTATATGTCCCCACATAATGCCGAAGTGATTCTGGATGATGTATGCAGTTAATACTAGAAAATTAAATCCCATTGCTTTCAAGCCCTTTCCACTCTTTTATAACTGTATTTTTATGCAAATTGTGTATTTATTTATTTATTTTAATATCAGGATTCGCAGAGGAAAACTTTGTGAGAATTTGGCCAGAAAATCCTCTTGTGCAATTTGGAGGTTCACTTGAGATCAACTGCAGTGCCAATATTGAAGCAGATGCGATTGGCCTTGAGACCGCCTTCAGAAGGGAAATCATTGGAACTGGATCCAATTGGAAAGTCTTCCGTCTCACCAACATCAGTGACTGGAACACTATCTCATTGTGCTATGCTAAGGATCACAAGGCAAAACCTGCAAAAGCAACCATTACTGTTTACAGTAAGTCACATGGTGACTGCAAAAGCAGATGAGAAATATTGGGCATCTAAAGTACCCAGAGTTCAAATTCAACAGGAAGACACAAGAGTCACTTAGTCCAGTAGGATCAAACCTTAGCGATGTTAACTGCAGTGGTCAAATAACTGAGTAATAAACAACAGAAACCAGAATAAAAGCAATGAACAAAGTTTTATTGAACAATTTGGGATACTTATGCGGGAGAATTTCGTTCTGCACTAGTTGCAATCGATTTATTTCCTTTATCAAAACTATCTAGCTGACCATCTCATTAAAAGTGGGAGCAGTACATAAAGTTAAAACAGTGAAGAAATACATGAAGTTGCTATGCAGGGCAACTGGAGGAGCACACCATGGCAAGCCACCCACAAGGGGAGGCTTTCCTAGGCAAGATTTTTAACACTTCAACATTTCTCTCCATCTCCTCCCCTCGAATCCTTTTGGGAAAATAAGACAGGCTGCATAGCTTACATTGTAAAGTGTTAGAGGGGGTGGGACAGTCAGGAGAATATGTGATCAAGTGTTGGGGAATTGACAAAGGAAACCTATAGTTTAGTGAGGATTACCTACATTAATGTCTAGCAAGAATGCAGGCACTTAGCTAAGCCAAAAGATGGGAATAATTACCTAACAAGGGCAAGCAAATAGAAATAGACAAGATATTTCTTTTGGGAAAGCTAAGGCATGCCCCCCACTGCCCTTAACAAGTATATAGAAATTTAAGTTTGACTTAGAATGTACAGGAAAATATACACTTAGGTAGAGAGAATTTCATCACATAGAATAAATAACAGAAGAGCCGTGTTATTGCTTGTTCATACTTCTAGCATATGCTAATCAAACAAAATTGATTTAGAACATTTTATTTCATTTCAGAATCTCCAGAGGGTATTGAACTGCATCCAGTACCAGAAATGGAAGTGGGCAAGGAGTATAATTTAACATGCCAGGTTTCTGGTGTAGCCCCCATCCGGGACCTCACCGTGACCTTGCTGAAAGGGGAAGAGCAACTTCTGGTAAAGACCTATAAGGATCATACTGACCGTAAGGCTGATCGTGTTGTGGTGAACTATCACATGATAGCTCAGAAAGATGACTACAACAAGACGATCACCTGCCAAACATCCCTGGATCTGAGACCAACAGGACCACTCTTGAAAAATACTTCCCACAGCATATCATTATGGACTTTTGGTGAGATCCCATCCATTGCTCCAGTTCTGATTTAGACACATGGCACCCTGTGCTAGACAATCCTAATTCTCTACAGGAGGGGTTGGTCCACCTGTTCCACTGTTTTGATTTTTGTTTGCATAGATCTGATGTCCCCTACAGTTGCCCCAGCACTCACCTCCTGAGAGGCTAGGGAGAGGGTACTATTGTGGCTGTGATTTCTTTTGCAATAACTGACACATGATTTCTCTTACTTTCTTGGCAGATTTTGCAAAGGCTCCCTTGCTCCACACTGGCCTGTTCTTAGAAGCTGGGACCTTGATGAAAGTGACGTGTGATGCACCTGAGGCTTCCCCAGCCAATGAGGCCGTGTTTGATCTGCGGTTTGCAGGGAAGTCCCTGACCTTCAACACCACTGTGATGGGAGGCTTGGCAAGTGCCCAGGCTGTGATAGCCTCTTCCTCAGTTGGAGATCATGAGTTGATTTGCACGGTCTCTCTGGGACCAGTGACCAAAAATGTGACAAAGATGGTGAATGTGTTTGGTGAGTCTCATATCTGTATACTAACACAGAGAGATTTAGAAGAGTTTTCTTCCATCTATCTGAACAAATCTAGAAGAAGTTAGAAGTTAGATTGATTTTATTTTGGAAAATAAAATTTCAATAATGGGTTGGATCAGTCTAAGTAGCTTGAAAGAAAGCCCTTTGAAACCTATGGAACTGGAGGGATAGGTTACTCAACCCTGTTCTATTTTCACTGAGATCCAAGAACAACTATTGTAGGATCAACCAAAAAATATTCCCATCAGATTAAATATATACAGAGCTTAGATCTGACCTAAAGCCATTAGACCTAAAGCCATTACAACTTATGATTGCTTTGTTTTTACTGTTTTGCATTTTGACATGCAGTATTTATTTAAAGAGGTCCATATGCTCTAACCAAATAGAGAATGCATAAATTGAAAGAAACAGCTACTCTCATCCATTTCACTTCTTTGGAACCTCTGGTATCCAGCCATTTCAAGTGCTCTATTTCTAAAATGCAGCAGTTTTTCTTACAAGAAATCTGAGGTGAATGTGGACTGAAAGAGAGTGTGAAGGTGAAAGTCCTTCACTAAGCCTCTATGGTTGTAGGTGGACTTGAACTTAGGGTTCCTCTATCCTAGTCCTTACTGACTCTTTTCATATCTAGGACAGGAAGGGGAGAGATAGCCTTTAGCTAGCATTTGTTTTAACTATTTTCATTCATCATTTTATAACCATCTAAGTACATTATCACTGCTCTGCTCTATTTCTTCACAGCTTTACCAAATCCCATCTTGCAAATTGGCAGTTCAGAAGCTGGTCAAAAAGTGAACATTACATGTGGTGCAGAGGGCAGTGCTTCTCCTGGTTTTACAATGCAGATCATGGACACTGCCAAAATATTAGCATCTGGCAACGTAAATTTCCTGCAGCATGAAATGATTGCTCAGCAAGAGGATGACAAGAGGGAATTCATCTGCCAAGTAACCCTGACCGTTGATGGGCAGGTCAAGGAAAAAAGCGTGTCTCAAATACTTACCGTCTTCTGTGAGTAGGAAAACAAAAATACACCTCATGTTTTATTCCGAGAGATTGAGTAATCTTCAAATAGTGTGGCAACAAATTTTACAGCTAGGATGACCTTTGGAAATTGGTAACATTGCATAGCGTTATGTAATTGCAGGTCTCTGCACTCCAGAAGGTGACTAGGAGGATCATATGAGTATGACCCAATGGTTCCTTTCATATAGGAACTCACCTAGTGTTCTTCTTGTCCTTCTAAATTACTGAAGTACTGGGAAATTGTTGTTTATTTGTTAAATTTATATCGCCACATATCTTGCTTCTGAGACTCTGGGTGGCTATATAGATTTAACAAATACACACCCCAAAACCCTCAATATATAGCTTTTGTAATAAAAACTACAGTAAGAAAAATCATTAAAAACAATAAAAATACATTTAAAATTACATGGGAGAGCACACTCAAGTTTCCCCTACAATACAGGTACTTTAATAGCTCCATATCCCTGTTCCCAGATCCCCAAGCCAGATGGCAGAGCCATGTCCTTCTGGAAGGCCAACAAGCCTTTGGGGTCAGTCTGGCCTCAGTGGGAATGATTTTTTTAAAGCAAATGGACCTCTCAGTTAATTTATAGAGATGCAAGTGTATTGTTGCAATGAGAGTTAGAGAAGATGTACATTAGTTATTGGTTTTAGTTATTCCCATGAACTAGGTAGGCACCCAATGCAAGGCTGCCTAACCAAGTGGCAAATAGACTAGTAGGTTTGATGCCATCAGGTGGATTAATCTCTGACATCCAAAGCATTATGTCCCATTGTGGTACTATTTATGTTTTTAAACAACATCAGTAATATATTTCCTGATTTCCCTCAGTACTCTTGGAGGTACATATACCCCTTTATGTTCTCAACTTAACTGGTTATTTAAATCTATTCAGGTTGTGTGAAGGAGGAGTTACTTGCTTCGTGATGTGTTTCAGGCTGGGGATGTGGTATACTTTGACTTCCTTGATGCTCAGGGTCTTTATATTTGCACACTTTTTCATTAGCTAATCAGGAATACAGGTAATCCAAAATTATGGCCAAAATGGAGCCCTGAATTGTGGGCATAGGTTGTTGTGGTCATTAAGAGAGGCATCCATGTGACCACCTTGCTCAATGACCTCATTCCCGGCTTTTCCCACTGTGGTCATTAAAGAGAGTGTGGGCTGCCCACTGGGGAGGCCCTGTGCAAGCCGAGGCCCACATTGCAATACCCCTCAGTTCAGACATGGCCTACCCCCAGACATGGCCTACCCCATTACACAGCTTCTCGCCCCATCAGATTCCACAGTCTTGGGTATGTTTTCCATCCTGCCGGGTCCCACAGGCCTTGGGCCCTATCACACTTCGATCCACTTATCTCTTCTAAAGAACTCTTTTTTGAAAGAACACCCAACTGATGTGATGCAAAGGCTCCAACATGGCTTTCTGGAAATGGTGCCATTCTTGCGATCTCTTAGAAGGGTGTGATTTTCCAAATGGTGCAAGGTGGCCTCTATAGAAAGCACCCATATTGCATTGGCTTTGGAAAAGGCATTTTTCAGAAGAGACAAATGAAGCAAAGTGTAATGGGATAGAAAGCAGGCCCAAGGCCTCTGGCACCAGCAGGGTGGGATGTGGGGAGGAAGATAGGCCGGTGGGGGTAGTTGCTGTGTCCTTGTGGTTGGTTGTAAGGCCATGTGGACTGCCAGGCACCCAAATTTTCATCACATGAACATAAGGGCCTTGCAAAGCCCATAACTGAATACAGGTAGTATTTTGTTCACGCCATTATTCAGAACCATCCTAATTTCAGTAGCTGAATGAATGATTGTAAGTTGCGGACTATTTATAGGCTTCTGATCCAGAATGGGACCCTGAGTATGTGCTGTTTTAGAGAGGTGTTTGAAGCAGCCCTTAAAAGATTTGCAAAATTTGTATAATTTCTATTCTATTCTGATATAATATAAGAAGAGTGATACTCAAATGTTCCATAATTTAAGAAAAAACCCTTGTGCTGCTTTATCCATTTGCCCAAAGCAATGATTTAATGACCAAGGAGAACCATACAGAATTCATGTAGAGTATTCAATTTGGAAAAATTATAGACAAGTTAAAAAAAAACACACCTTTGCCCCAGCTTTGTAATCCTGACTTAATCCGTTCTATGGTTGTTTTTAGCATTTTGACAAATGGCAAGAGATTCAAAATGTTCATGACTCCAAATATTACAATTTAATTGTCCCTGAGGTAAAAATAGATTCCAGCATTTCTAAAGATAAGGCAATTTTGTCCATGGGGCTTGGATTTATTTACTTATTCAAAAACAAGTCTGAGTGGCTCCCAATCAAAAGTTCAGACAACACATAAAACCATATTAAAAGTTTCAAACTAAACTAGAACATCAAAAAAAAAACCTGGTGCCAAATCAAACTTCTAATGTGCAGTCATCCAATTTTATCCCAGCACTTGTGGGTCTTCCGTGCTTTTCAGAAGGCTTGGAAAGTGGAGGCCTGCCGAACTACAACGGACAGAGTGCTCCACAGGGCAGGGGCTGCCATAGAAAAGATATGGTTGTTAGTCCACCAGATGGCAATATTTAGTGGAAGGGACTGGGAGCATGCTCACTCTATCTGATCTGGTAGGATGGGTAGATTTCTCTAGGGAAAGGGGGTCCTCCGGCAAGTAGAAGCATACAAAAGTATGTACAAAGTATCTGTAAGAATTAGACTGTCAGCTGGTGCTCCATTCCAAATCCAAGAAAGAAATACTTAGACTCTTGTAATTAGAGAAAAGATATCTTTTACAGGAAGTCAAGTGGTAGCAACAAGAGAATTCTGAATCTAAGGAAATAGGCACGTACGTCACATATATCAAGGGATGGAAATGTTCCCACCTCCAATAATTCAAATGGTTCTTCCAATTAAAAGTTGTGAACCTCATCATGTGGACATCCTCAGGTGGTGATGATTAGTTGACCTTGGCCTACTCTGATAAAGGTTTGCAGCTGCGCAGAGAAGAGAAAGCTAAGCAAGAAATAGAAACCCTCCTCAGTTTATACAATATGAGTTAGTAACACCTCCAGCTCGTTTCCCATACTTTTCCCCCTTCCTCCCCCAGTTACTCATGACAGCCAGAAAGAAGATCTTCAAGGCTGACATAGACTTGGGATTCCCAAACGTTGATACTAGCTGCTGTATGCTGCCTTTGGAGGCCATGTTCCATCTGTGAAGGATCATGGTGGTATAGATTCCAGGATCCATTGAGAATGAACATTGTATAAATTGCAATAGATTATCACCAATGCTTCTGCAGTTTTGCAATGCATAGTTGCTTCATTACATCCATTATTACCAGTGAAACTAACCACATTCCTTTCTCCATTCTAGACGGGCCCCAAATGGATGATTCCAGCTGCCCCCAGACATGGACTTGGAAGGAGGGAAGTACGACAACACTTACCTGCACAGCCTTGGGAAACCCCACACCGACTGTTCAGTGCTGGAAAGATGAGAGACTTTATGACATCGGGGAACCACAGCGAGTCCAGACAGAGCATGGTGGCATTTATCACTGCAATGCTACCAACCAGTATGGCTTTGATGTTAGAGATGTGACCGTACACGTTGAATGTAAGTTCACTCCTTGACCTAAAGAACAAGAATGACCGTAGTCTTAGGTCCTGTAACTATCAGCCAAATCTGCATTTGAACGGTAGACTTAAGCTAGTGAAACAAACTGATAAAAATTCTGGCCATCACAGCCCTTCCATCTATAGCCCAGTCAAGAAAAATTTGGAGTAGTTCTGGAGCTCAGCAAAGATTCATTGTGACAAGACTATTTAAGAAGGGTTTAGAACAGGGGCGTCAAACTGAAGGCCCATGGGGTGCTTACATCTGGCCTGCAGGGCTGCCCTGAAAACAGCAATGGACTGATCCTCTCGAGGTCTGTTTTGACTGGCAGAGCTCTTTGACCACCAAAGGCACCACCGACATGAGTGATGTCAAGCTGGCCACTAGTCTCCTATGCCAGCATCCTGCTCATTCAATTGCCTTCCAATAATTTGCCATTATCCTTATATCTACTTCTTCACATATTGTTGAATTTCATCTTTAGTCATCTTTAACTAAGATGATCCGGTTTTGGAATTAAGCTTTTATATATACATTTCCATTTGAATACACCTGCTTCTACATCTTAATATAGCAAAGGAACATTTCCTGGAAGGGCATGTTGGCAGATATTCGGCATTAATAGCATTAAACAGTATCAAAGTTAGAAGGCTGAGTAGAAGTTTGGAAGGCAGAGACAGGAATAGGAGAGCTATGGATTACTCTTGCTGTATAATTCTTGAAAGAAATGTCTTCCAAGATCAACTTCTGAAATTTTTCACATATATCATTTAGCAAATAAGTCTTCCCTTTCAGTCATCACATATACATCAATTATTCCATTCATTTCTTGCTTCCCTGTATTTATCCCTACTTTCTTTTTCTTCCTTTTCTCATCTGCTAGCAGGTACTATAGTTCTCTGCCCATTTATTAGACACCCTGAAACATGGCTGTCTGCATCCTCTATTGGAAAAAAAAAAACCCTATCTGTTAGTCCTTTCATACATTCCCACTTTTGCCCATTGTGTTTTCTTCCATCCCTATCAAAACTCCTTAGAGAATATACCTTTCTCTCAATTTCCTCCTCAATTTCACATGCTTGTTTTAATGGCGTTTTCATGTAAGGAGTTTTCATTCTATCAAGCTGACTTGGACACATTATAGTCAATCTCCTGGTGCCAACACAAATCACCTACGTTCAGTGCTATTATTACCCAATTTATCTGCTGCATTTGTTTCCTCGAATCGATATTATTTTCCTATGTGAGTTCCCTTAGTAATATCATAACTATACTGATTTCATACCTAGTTATCTCAGTTTTCTTTCTCTATTATGTGGAACGATTCTATCTCCATTTTTGTTCCTCTTCATCCATGAGTAATCCTTAGGACTCTGTTTCTGTTTTATTTTACTCTATCTCTTTGGGGTCCTTTCATATTTATTTTCAATTATACAGTATGCAGGCAAAATCCAGGTGTGTTCCTCTGTCTCTATTCCAGATGACATAGTATTAGCATCTTCTAAATGCCTTTGTAGGGCTGCATAGATTCCTACCATGAGAAAGCAAACATGCATAAGACAGAGACTGCTGTATTCCTTCCTGGTCTTTCTTTTCCATTTTCTGAGGTGTTTTTTTTCCCTAGCTGCTGGGTCTCTTAGTGGTGAGGAACCTAGAAGTCCAAATTAATGATGGACTTTCCTTAAAGATCTTCATCAATAAAACCATCCCCATTTGAAGTTTTCATTTAATCAATGATTGTAGGATCCACTGTTCCCCATCGCTAAGATGGCAAGGCAGTCAATCATCTCATGTCTGGGTGATTGTAACAGTATGGATTTATCTGATTTCTCTCTTTATCACCTGATTCATTTCCAGAATTCATTGTTTAATGTATCCCTAATTCCTACATTGGCTGGTGTTTATTCAAGGTCAAAGTTTAAATTGCTGATGTTAACTCCCCTGGCCTTAAACATACCCATTGTTTCTTTTAAAAACACTTGTGGCTTCTGTACCAATACAGGTAGTCTTCACTAATCAGGGACCAGGAAATCCATAGCTAAGTTATGCATTTGTAAAACATGATATTGACTCCACTTGCTATTGTTAGGAGATTCCTGCACATTGCAGCATCCTGTACTTACATAATCATCATTCACAACCTCCCACCAGCTTCCCAATTGACTTCATGTGACTGTGCAACACTACAACATTGTAATTGTTAGCTGGTTGCTGAACACACAAATCGTGATCATTTGACCCCAGAGACGCAGGGACATAACTATGAGGATCCTTCATAAACAGCCCTCATTCAGCACCATCATAACTTGAACAGTCAACAAACAAGTATAAAATTCAGCAAGGACTAAGTGTAAATCTCAGCTGATTGTCAAGATAGCGCTGATTTATACCTCCTTACACTAAAGTAGGTATATTATGCTTAAGAGGTTTTTTTCCCCATCCAGTACCAATTCTGTAGAACCAACTTTCATTTGTCTATTTTTTCAAAACTTCAGATATTTTTTTCTTAATGAACCTTTGATGTTGGCTTAAGCATCAACTCCCCACGCAGAATTCTTATAGTGGTTCTTATGTAAGTCCCCATGATGGTTTTACATGTTTTGGCCATTTCCTTAGTGAGGGTTTATATTTTGTGTTCTCAGGTTGGAATGTACTATATTATTCAACGTACTGTATTATTGTACCAAATGGTTGAAGTTGTATTTTATTATTATGAGCCCCACCTGAAAAATAATAGCTACTAACTACTGCCTAGTTGGAGAACTGTAATGCTATGGAACTATTCAATGCTACATTTTAATGCATTTGTTTTTTTTTCCCTTCGCAGCTCCTCAGTCCATTGGCCATATCATTGGCTATATAGTTGCTGGGCTGGTGGTTATTGCTCTTGTGGCTGGTGTAGCTTATTGGATAAGCTATCAAAAAAAGATTGGGGTCTACCGACTGTGGCAGCAACGGAAGCAACAGCAATCGCCACAAAACTCAATGGAGCAAAGATTCCTGAATGGCAATGCAAATGTCTGAGCAGACCTGTGTTTTCTACTAACTGAAGGACCACTTGTCCCAATGCCAGCAAGATTATAGCTGTGTTCAGTGTTCATCACTCTACTTAGCTACAGAGGAAGAGGATGTTGATTACATGCCATCAAGTCATTATTTATTTATATTTATTTATTTAAAACACATGTAGCTGGCCATCTTTCAACAACTCTGGGTGGCTCCCAATCAAAGATGATGAGCCACATGGATAGATTTTCTCCATGATGTGGAAGAAGAGATATGGCACACTATTCTTCAGCTCCTGAGCATTGGATGGGCAGTGGTCCAACTGGCCTTTGTTTTTGGACTTTGGAAGGGTGTGCTGTCCAGACAGTTTGGAGTTAATGGGATTTGGATAGTTAGGTAGCAATTGTGAGCTGTCCCCTTAAGGGAATACAACATGGTAAATGTAGTTAAGGTATCCTGGGAAATGTAGTCCATATCACTTGACCACATCTGTAATCCTGATTGGTCATTAAATTGACCCTCAATGAGTGGGAGGAGTTGTCCTATTTCTTGGCTGAACTCAGGGATTCATGGTAACTGTTCTATTTCTATCACCACAAGATGAGAGAAAAAGGGTAGAAGATAACCATCTTTTTACCTACAAGACAGATATACAAAGGATTGGTCATTAAAGAAGAACTTCATCACAAATGTGAATTATGAGGATACCCGATGAACCAATAAATGTACTTTGTTATGGACATTTTGTTGAGTTTATCTATCTGCATCTGTACAGAAGACAAATCCACCACTGTACAGAATACAGAATAAAGGGTGAATGATGGTAGCGTCTGCACTTTCAGAGAGTGGCGGTGCTTATGCCTCCTGCTTTTCCTACTGAAGATCTCATCCACCATCTAAGTGGACTTTCAGACTTTTCCTTGAAAAGGCAACCAGGAACAAAAGGTGGTCTAAAAGACTTTGGGTTACCTCCAGGAGGAGGCATTATTGGGAAGCCACTCAGAACCGCTAGGAAGTGGGTGTCTGCAACACACCAGCTTGGGCTTTTCTTGCAATGATGGACAACTCAGCTGTAGAGTTTAAAGCGTCTTCCAGATTTCTCTCCCACCATTAAATTGAAAATAATACCATTATCATAAATGGCATAGTAAAATTCTTTAGTCCTTTGTGCTCTCTGAGCTTGGATATTTTCTTACAGACATTTCATTACCCAACTGAGTAACATCATCAGTGCTAGAAGGCAGTGGTTCTCTATTTATATATGGCTGGTCTGCCTGTCATAATGACAGGGGTGTTCTTGGCTGTTCTTTGTTGTTTATTTGGGTTCATTCATTGTGGTATTGTTTGCTGCTTGTTGGTTGGTCTGGTATTAAGCTTTTCTTATCTGGGTTTTGATTGCTGGTGAGGAGGACTTTCTGCTTCCTGTTTAGCTTTTTAATTGTCTCTTTTAAATGAAATGTAGATGTTATTTTTCACTATATGTCCGCTGATGGTTGATTTGTCTCAGTGCCAGACCTCCAGGAATTCTCTAGAATTTTTGGGACTTAGCTAGGATGCTCATAGTTTCCCTTATCTAGGATGCTCGTAGTTTCCCAGTGGAAACTATGGGTAAGTCTGTCCATGTGTTGTGCAATTGAGGAGTTTTCATTATGTCTTCAGACTGCTAGTCGGCATTCTCAAGAACTCCTTTCTATTTTTGCAAATTTGCACTTACATATTTTCACAGCACATGCCAGAAAGTTAGAGCCTTTTTCTATTTTTAAATACTTGTATGTGAATTCATGATTATCAAGATGACACATTCCATAACTCTAAGTCAGATTTCCGAATGCCGGAAAGAAATCCCTGAGGTACAATGTTTCAGAACTAGCCTCTCCCAGTGGTGGTTTCACAACTCAGCAGGTCTTCTAACGGTCTCATGTAGTTCTTGGTTTTACACATGTGTTTTATTGTTGGGAGAAGAAAATAATGGTGTGAAAATAATAAAAATGATTAAAAAGCTAGAGTAAAGTTAACATGTTTTTTAAATATTGCATAAAAGAAGGGAAGTGTTCCCTGCATGCTATGTTGAATGAGTCATGTTCCCAGGAAAATATGAGAGACGGTAAGAGCACTGTTTCTGTTCTGCTATCAACAGGAGTTCCGTCATGGTACAAATTCTTATTACAAAAAAATAGTACGATCTAAATAAAGACCGTAGAGGAGAAAAAAGATCCTTCGCTTTTTTTATAACTGAGTAAAAAGGAAAACCACCTTTTCTTCCTCCACCCCCATCCCCAATTCAATAAAACAAGCTGTTCTTCTTAGTTTGCCCTTGTTACTTTTCACCTTCAAAACTTTCCCCACTCTTCTTGGGCTGGGCCATCTAGGCATTTCTAAATAAGAGCATTTGTAAAAGCCCAGTGAAAGCATGCAACCACAAAGGTGCATTCCACTACCTCTTCTTGATTTTGTTGAGGAGATCCTACTCTGAGTCCTACTTCATCGTCATGTGGGAGGAGAAAGTGTCTTGAGGCAGAGGGTTTTATTTTTTGTAGTGCATACTTAGGCAGTTGGTATAATTGGACAGCCTTCTTCAAGGATATTTTACTTTGCATCCTGGCACTGAATAGGGGTAGAACAGTAGTTCCAAATTGGTTGCATGCATGCTGCAGATGGGACTTAGAAGTAAACCGAAAGTACCCATATGCAACTCATCTTCATTGCTAACTCATTGAAACTTCAAGCCCTCAAATGACTGTGAATGACAAGTATGACCACATAATATCTGTCAACCAGTGGTGGGATTCAAATATGTTTACCACCGGTTCGGTGGGCGTGGCTTGGTGGGCGCGTTTTGCATGTGTGCACACACTTCGCATGCGTGCACCAAACGCATACTTTGCACAGGCACAGAGGTGTTTGCGCAGGCGCAGAGGTGTTCTAACTCACCTCCTGCAAGCCTGAATGATCCCGGTCACTTCAGCAGCTGGCGCGAGGCAAAGCAGCTGCGCTTCAAATTCAGAGGAGCCTGGGTGAGTGGGTGGGCCCAACAGCAGAGTGGCAGAGAGAACTGGTTCGGTCTCTGCTGCTCATCACTACTACTGGCTCGGCCAAACCGGTAGAATACCAGCACTGCTGTCAACATATAAATATGTTTTATATGTAGGTATATAATACTTATTTCTTGGGGGAGAGAGGAAGCCCTTTTGTTTCTATTATGCTGGGATCAGAGGTGGTATTAAAACTGGTTCTCACGTACTCAGGCAAACCGGTAGCGGTTATTTGGCGTGGGTCACTGAACTGGTAGCGACCCCTGGCTGGCCATGCCCCCAACCCGGTCGCCCGGTCGCTCACTTGCAATTGCTCTCCTAGCTTTCCATCCCCCATGTCCTCTTTGTCCCTGGAAGAAAGGAAGAAAGGCATGGATGCTGCAAGTATCACTTTCCCCATGTGAGTAAAGTGCCTGGAGTGAGAAAGAGTGTGGTCTGAAAGAGAGGGTGGGGCTGAATCGAGCTTCGGAGCACTTTTGCAATGTAAAAGAAATGCATTTTGGAAGCAGGTCTTTTAAAAACTTCTCCAAGGATTCTCCATGGACGCTGCATGTATCACTTTCCCCCTGTGAGTTAAAGTGCTGGAGTGAGAAGGAGTGTGGTCTGATAGAGGGGGTGGGGGAATCCACTCAAGCCTTGGAGAAATTTAAAGGAGCCGCTTCCAAAATACTTGTCTGTTAAGTGCTGTGTGTGTGTGTGTGTGTGTGTGTGTGTGAGAGAGAGAGAGAGAGAGAGAGAGGAAGGGAGAGAAAGAAAGAAAAAATAGGAAAAGAGAGAGAGATAAAACTCTGCTATTATTTTTAATTGTTCCATTATTTATCATGTGTTAATATTTTACACTGTCCCTACACCTAGAGTGATTTTTCTGCCTTTCTTTTGCCCAGGGCTACCACATATTTTTCAGGGTTTACATGCATTCAATGTCGATAGTCCAGAGCATAAAATACACATGTGTTTAAGAAGAGTTGAAAGGGACCTTGGAGGTCTTCTAGTCCAACCCCCAGCTCAGGCAAGAAAACTGAGGATGCCAAACTCTGAGTAGAAATCCTGTGAAAGATGTCAGAATAATACTTAGAAGGGACCTTGGGGTGAACTCTATACCCATTTCAGAGAAATGGCTGTCCAGTCTTTTCTTAAAAACTTCCAGTGATTGAGCACCCAGAACTTCTGGAGACAGGCAGTTCCACTGGTTAATTGTTCTCACTGTCAGGAAGTTTCTCCTTAGTTTTAGGTTGCTTCTCTCTGTTCAGTTTCCACCCATTGCTTCCTGTTTGCCTTCTGCTTCTTTGGAAAATACATTCCCCCCTTTCTTGGTGGCAGCCTCTTAAAAGCCTGTTGCCTATCACACTCTTGAGTAAAGCATGTGAGCCATTTCCTCTTTTCAATGGTCCATGAAAGTACATCTATAGTATGCAGATAATAAAGTCAAAGAAGGTGAACAACATTTTTACAGAACTATAGATAAGTTGAGGCTGGGTGACAAGAAATGGCTGGGAGGGAAGGGGCCAGGTGAGGCACCCCTTGATGTGCTGTCCCAGCCAGTCTATGGGAATTGGATAGTTACTTGGGAATTATGAGCTGTCCCCTTAAGGGAATGCATCATGGTAAATGTAGTTAAAGGTATCCTGGGAAATGCAGTTCATGTCACGTGGCCACATCTGTAATGCCAATTGGTCACTAATTTGACCCTCGAGGAGTTGGGGGAGTTTTCCTCACTTTTGCCTGAATTCCCTAACTCCTGGCAGCTGCTTTCTATCACTACGAGATGGGTTAGGAGATAACCATCTTTTACCTACAAGGCAGATAAGCAAGGGATTGGTCATTAAAGAAGAACTTCATCACAAATGTGAGTTATGAGGATACCTGATGAACCAATAAAAGTACTTCGTTATGGACATCTTTTTGAGTTTATCTATCTGCATCTGCACAGCTTACAAATCCACTACTGTGCAGAATACAGAAAACTTGATGTGAGTGACATTGAGTTGGCCACGCCCACCCAGTCACATGACCACCAAGCCATGCCCACCCAGTCACATGACCACCAAGCATGCCCACCCAGTCACATGACCACTAAGCCACACCCACCCAGTCACATGACCACCAAGCCACATCCACCCAATAAACCACGCCCACAGAACCGGTAGTAAAAAAATTTGAATTCCACCACTGGCTGGGACCCAGTTCCTGAAAGGACGACTGATGGACCTTAAGATACAGAAGGCTGAGAACCATTGATTTTAGAATGTAACATTCTTTTGTGAGAAAAAGTAAATGCAATCACTTGTGTTGAAGGACTCTTCTAGGCAGAAATAACTACATTTGTGGCAGAAAATGTAGTGTGTGAAAGAATAAATTAATGAAAGTGAGATGCCTTGAAGGACCAGGCAAGAACAGAGTGACCTTTTGGGCATTCATTTCAGCTTGGAGAATGAAAGGGGCATGATTATATGAGCACATATGTCCAGCCCATAAAAATGGGTAACTGTCCCTTCCTTCCTTCCTTCCTTCCTTCCTTCCTTCCTTCCTTCCTTCCT